TAACCCATGTTTCAGTCACACCTACACAATGATGTCTCCACTGAAACCTGAGCTTATGATCCACACCTGTAAGTCCCACACTTGGAAGACTGAGGTAGGACTGCAAGTTTGAGGCCAGTGTGGGCAACATAGTATGTTCAAGGCTAGCCTGCACTAGCAACTCCTTATCTTAAAACAAACCACAAAAGAACAGTGTCAAGAGAACTTCCAGACACATGGCCATTCACTCAAACAAGGTGAAGAAGCATCATACACTTCCTCCATACCTTGGCCTATGTACCTCTTTACCTGTAACCTTAGTAAGACCCTTTATAATAAACCAGGAAGCATGGTTCCCTTAATCCTGTGAGCCTTTCAAATGAATTGACCTGACTCAAAAGAAGGGATTGTAAGAACCCCAATTTATAGCTGCTTGTTCAGAAGCAATTTTTCCCCCCAACACATTCCCATACACCCCAGGTAAGAACTCTGAAGCACAGTTAAGAGGGGAATTCAGCAATAAGTAAAAATGTTTACAATTATGTATAGCTTTCTTTACACACACACGCACCATTTTTTTGTTTGTTTTTAATGTTTGGTATCAGGAATTGAACTTACAACCTCATGCTTGCTGGGCAGGTGCTGTCCCCCTGAGCCATATGCCCAGTTGTTGTTATGTTTGTTTTTTTAAAACAGGATCTGGTTTTGTAGCCAGACTGGCCTCAAATTTATGGTGATCCTTCTGCCTCAGCTTCCTGAGTACTGGGATTACAGGTATGTACCACAATATCTGCCATCACCCTCTTTTTGAGACAGGGTTTTGCAATGTTTCCCAGGGTAGCTTCAAACTGTTATACTTCCTAGAAGCTGATCCACAGCCCCATGACCTCATACACCAGGATAAATTTCTTTCTTTCTTCCTTCTTTTTTGATACAGGGTCTTGTGATGCAGTTCAGGCTGATCTCAAACTTGCAACAATCCTCCTCTGTTAGCCTCCAGAGTGGAATTACAGGCATGTGCCACTACAGTGAGCTCTAAATTTATTTTTTCTAATGCTGGGAAACCAATCTAGAGCTTACTTCATGCTAGGCAAGCACTCTACAACTAAGCTACATCACTGGCCTTTGTGCACAGTGTTTGACTTGTTCATTCAAATTCTAGAACTTGGGCTAGGTATATAGCTCAGCAGCATAACTGCCTGCCTGGCAAATGCAAGGTCCTGAGTTCAATTCCTGATACAAAAAATAAATAAATAAATAAAAAGCTAAACAAATTCTAGAACTTCACTGAGCTGAGAATGTTGCTCAGTGGAAGAACACTGCTGGCATACACCTAGACATACATACAGAACTAAAAAAAAATGAGTAAATTTTTAAAAAGACAGAAAAAGATTTATGACCTCACGTTTGCCAGGCAGGGAATTATGCCGCTGAGCTAAATCCCCAGCCCAAGAACAAATATTTTTAAAAATTGGCTAAAAATTGCCCAAAGTTTTGATGCATATTTTTAAAAGACATTTTGAAGCAATTACAGGGAAATATTTATCAATAAGGAAATGTTCACAATATAATGTTAAATGAAAAAAGAGACAAAACCATTCATACATGTAGGGATCCAGCTTGATCTGACTGTAGTCACCTCATGTTGTAACCGCTGTGAATACTTTTAACTAATACTGGTCCACCGTGTACTAGAGATGAAACAGTCAGAGTAGTTCGTAGAGCTTTGGGACCCACTGGATTCTGGTGCTGTCAGTACCAGGAATGTGTCTGACATCCTTGATGGCAGCTTGAGATAAGCCAAGTTCATTCCAGGTTCAATGAAGTCACTTTCATCCTGGCCACTCTGTAAGTCTTCTCCCAAATATCAGGGATCCTCTGATCATGCTCCTGGTCTGGATCACATTTCTGGCAGTGAGTCTTCAGTAAATTGTACTCAGTACAAGCCTGCCTTTTGTGTCATCTTGCATCTGCTCCTTCTACATTGGGTTTTCCCTACAATACAATTGGGTTGTTTTTTTTGTTTTTTTTTTTTTGTTTTTTTTTTTTTGTCTTTTTCCTTTATATCAGTACCAGGAATCAAACTCACGACTGCCTGCTTTCAAGGCAGGCACTTATGCCGCTGAGCTAAATCCCCAGCCCCTATATACAATTGTATTTTGTAAAATATTGAATCAAAAGGCACAAAGAAAAAATAGTTGATACTTTTCATATTAGCATGTGGTAGAATTGTGGATAATTTTTATTCTTTAAATTTTGCTATGGGCCAAGGATATAGCTCAGCACCTGCCTGGCAAGTACATGATCCTGAGTTTGATTCCTGGTACCAAATGAAAAAAAACTTTTCAGTTCCTCAAATGCTCATGCTCTTTGAATTTGCTTTGTTTTGTTTGGGTTTTGTTTTGTTTTGTTTTTTGAGAGAGGGTCTTGCTTTGAGCTATGTAGCCCAGCCTGGCCTCAAACTTACAGTAATGTGCCACCATGCCCTGTTCATACTTTGAATTAAATGTTAACTTTAAAAAAAAATGGAGGTAGTGGAATACCTATAATCCCAGCATTCTGAGAGGCTAACGCAGTAAGATCACAACTTTAAGCAACTTTGTGACCTAGTTACTCTCAAAATAAAAGGGCTGGGAATGTAGCCCAGACCAAAGGCTCTAGTTTTAACCTCTAGTCCCACCAAAACAAATAAAATAGAAATACTTGGACTTTAGGATAGAGCTCAGTGACAGAGTATATGTTTAGCATTTATGAACCCCTAGGATGAATCCCCAGCACTATAAAACAAAAAGTTACTAGAATAGCAGAGAGGTCTAAAGAATCTGACTGGGCTGGGACATCCCTCAAATGGGCTTCTGAGTCCCTCCCCACCAAAATCCCAGCTCTCCGAAAGACCCCAGTGTGCAGAAAACCTAACCGATGGCCTCCTTGGGAGGCTGACCTTTCCTCTCAGGACACTCTGTACATAGGCACCATCTTCTTGTCTTCTCTCCTGCCTACCCTATCTTCCCTTTGGCATAAGGTGGGCTTGGAGCCTAATTCTGATAGCTTTTGCTTTTCTTTTTAAGTCTGTTGGGTGTCTGTTTGCATATGTGTGTATGGAGAATAAAATGTTTGCCCAGTTTAGTAAGTTTTGTTTTGTTTCTTTTTGGTACCAGGGGTCAAATTCACAACCTTGCACTTTACAGGCAGGCGCTTACACCACTGAGCTAAATCGCTGACCCCCAGTTTAGTAAGTTTTAATGTGATTCAAATGCAGGAAATAAAAAGCTGAAAGTCTCCCTTGCATCCCAAGCTATCCTGTTCATCCGGACCTTTGCTATGTAGGTATCTTCCTAGACTTACGTCTTTTACAGAGCAATATACACAATTTTACTGTGTGTGTATGTGTGTGTGTGTGGGAGGGTGTCATATTAGGGATTTAACCCAGGACCTTTGCTCACTCCCAGACCTTTTAAAATTTTTTATTCTGAAACAGGGTTTTGTTAAGGTACCCTGATTGGGCTATAACTTGCAAACACAGAAAAGGGTTTATCCTGGACTTACTTGCTTATACCTTGCTTTCCTCACAGCATGCCACACATTTAGTTTTATAGAATCATGGTACCCCTGATAATCTGTATTTATCTAGGTAAGACCCAACACAAATGCATATAACTAGATTCAAGGATGTGTTTGATCAGCAAGGAGTCTTCACAAAAAAATCAAAAACAAGTCTGGTATGGTGGTGGTGGATGCCTATAATTCCAGTACTGTAGGAGGTTGAGGCAGTAGGACCACAAACTCAAACCCAGCTTGGGCAATTTAGTGACTTAGTGACACTTAGTGAGGTTTCTGTCTCAAAATAAAAAGGGCTAGAGTTGCAGCTAGTGTGAGGTCTTGGGTTTAATCCTCAGACTTCCATAAAAAAAATACAAAAACAAACAAAACAAAAAACTGTCAGAAACGTAACACCTGCCTAGGATATCTGAAAATATCTGTATCAACTTCTGATTTTTGAAAGGATAAACTTATGCAACAATTCATTTTCTCATCAGATGGGTGGACTCCTCGGTCCATTTAAGTAAATCCAAAGTGCTATACTTGTAAATCCAGCAGTCACTTCTGTTCCAGTTGGAGTAACTGGTCTGACAGGATGAAGCAGTCTTTGCCTACCCTAGAAGTGCCACAGGGAAAGGCAGTCACTTTACCAGCATGACAGAGAAACAAGTAATCAAAAGCCATCTGCAGGTCTCTGCTCAGCTTCAGTCCTACAAACCAGGCCTCTGGGAGCCTCAGTCCCAGAATCTTCAGATGCAGACTTCTCTCCAAAGAGTGGGCGATGGGGAGGGGTGGCCCGGTGGCGCGAATCTGTTACTTCTCTCATAAGTCATACTGCATAGAAGCACTCTGCCTCATGCTAATCTGGGCTTCATGAATATACACAAATGGCATGTCTGCACATGGCAGGCAGGAGTGGATTTTTTTTTTACTGTTTTTTTTTTTTTTTTTTTTTTTTGGTTTTTTTGGCAGGAGTATTTTGATGGTGCTCTCGAGCAGCAGAAATAAAGGGTTGGTAACACTGAAACTGAACAAAGGTGGACAGCTAGATGGAGGGATGATAGCTGAGAGTGAGGGACCCTTCCTGTGATGCTGTGATGCTACAGGAGCAAGAGGAGAAGACACAGGAGAGAGGAGCATGAAAAGGGAAATGGGGTGAACCTAAGCAGCCACTGTCCCAGGTAGGGGCCTTGCGCAGCTAGATAGAGCAGGTTGACTGGTTTGGTCTGGCAGTATCCAGAGGTGACAGCAGGATAATGAGGAGTTTTCCAAGCTACCACTGTGACTTTTACTAGCTCCAGGCCCAGCACAAGAGCCAAAAAGTAAGAACGAAGCTTCAAAATAAGAATGCAAGCTAGGGTGCAGCTCAGTGGTATAGCACTTAGCTAACATACAGAGCCTGGGGTTCCATCCTCAGCATCATAAACCAAACCAAACCAAACCAAACCCTTGGGGTTAAAGTAAGATAAACACATGCAGGCTTATATATTGAAATTTGTTTTAATTTGTATAATAAAAGGAAAAGTTCTACTTAAATAGTAACTCATCTGGATCTTCTTGTATAATGCAATATTCTTCCATGGGAGTCTGATGATTCTGAGGCCAGCAACTCTTCTCACATGTGTAAACTAGAATTGTTCCAAATTCCACCAAAAGATCTGAAAGATACAACATATTCTGGATTTAGGAAAGAAAGTGTTAAAAAAATATAATAAAAATATGAATATTTACAGCCAGGAATGGTAGCTCATGCCTGTAATTCTAGCACTTAGGAGGCTGAGGCAGGAGGACTGCTGAGAGTTCAAAGCCAGTATGGGCTACAAAGTGAGGTCAAGGCCAGCCTGAACTACATAGCAAAACACTGACCCAAAATGACCCCCCCCCTCCGCAAAAGAGCTGGGGCTGTGCATGGTGGCACATGCCTGTAATCACAAGGCTCTGGAAGGGTATGACAAAAGAACTACAAATTGGGGCCCAGCCCGAGCAATTTAGCAAGACTAGTCTCAAAATCAAAAATACTGCTGGGCATGGTAGTGCATTCCTGTAATCCCAGCACTAGGGAGGCTGAGGCAGGAGGATCATTGCAAGTTCAAGACCAGCCTAGCATACAAAGTGAGCCCAAGGCCAACCCTAACTGTATAGTGAGACCCTGTCTCAAAAAGACCAAAAACAAAAAAAGGGCCAGAGATACAGCTCAACAGCGTAAGTGCCTGCCTGGCTAAGTTCAAGGTCCTGAGTTCCATTCCTGGTAACAAAAAAAAAAAAAAAATCAAAAATATAAAAGGGTTGGGGATGTTGCTCAGTGTGAAGACCTTGGGTTCAATACTTAGCACACAGACACAACAGCTGGAGATGTAGCTCAGATTTAACCCCCCTGGGTTAAATCTCTAGTACCTCTAAAAACAAACAGCAAGCAAAACTATCATAATGTACCATGTCAAAATTCCTTAGGGCCCAGGGATGTAGCTCAGCGCCACAGCACCTGCCTGCCTGGCAAGCATTGAGGCCCTAAGTTTGATTCCCCACCCCCCAAAAAAAACTCATTAGGGAAGTTACCATTAAAAAAATAGTTATGCAGGGCCAGGGATTTAACACAGTGGTAATAGCTCCTGCCTGGCAAATGCAAGGTCCTGAATTCAATCCCTGGTGCCAAAAAACAGTCATGCAGTCATGCACAGTGCTACACAACTATAATGTATCACTCTGGAGACTAGGTAGAAGAAACAGCCTTGGATTCTATTTCCAGTACAACAAAGGGAAAAAAAAAAAAAAAAAAAGGAGTGAAGGAAGATGGCAGCAGAAAAAAATAGCCTCTCCAAAAGTCACCGTCCAGATGCTGGAATATAGCATTGTGAGGAAGATAAAGAGGAAAGTGGTCCACTGGGCCCAGCAAGAATCTGAAGTGTGAACTGAAACCTACAAAGAAAGTGAAAAGAAAAACTTCAAAAAAGAACATGGTAGCCGGCGGCACCTTTTCCCTGAGATGAGACTTACTGCATGAAAGGAGTTGTTCAAACCTGCAAGCACACAATCGTAGTGACAGTTATGGCTGGTGACCCTGGAGGCCTCTGTAGAGAGACATGGCAGTAGAGAGGAGCAGCAGACAATAGTGCAGAGCCCTTAGTTTTCCAGCAGCAGAGAGCAATTGGCTGAAAGCCATCTTGGAGACAGGCCAGCTGAGCTCAGAACCCAGAACTGCTGCTGGCTCCATCCAGCAGTTCCCAGCTGGAAAGACTCATGGAAATTGCTTGGGCAGCAGAGCCCAGTTGTCTGCTCTCAGGACTGGTCTGCTGAGATTATCCACCACCCCAACAAAAAGCTACTGCTGGCTTGCTGGTATAGATCGGCATGAAATTGGACTCCGTTTCCAGGCTGTCTACTAGTGAAATCAGAGAGAATCCTAGAAGCAGATTGTTTTTCTTTTTCTCTTTCTCCGTCATTGTTTTTATTTGGGTGTGAATGTGGTTCCTAACATCTTTGTGGTTCTAGTTCTATTCTTTCTCTTATCTCTTTCATCTCTCTTTTCCTTCAGTATTCTGTACTAGTTTCTCAAAGTTGGCATGATTCCCCTTTTGTCCTCCAACCTTTCTTTTTTTTTTTTTTATTGGTACCGGGGATTGAACTCACGACCGCCTGCTTGCAAGGCAGGTGCTTATGCCACTGAGCTAAATCCCCAGCCCAACCTTTCTTTTAATCTCTTGCTCTTCTTCCACTTCTCTATTTTCTCCTTATTCCATTTTAAATTTTAACCCTGAAGGGCAAAATTGACACATTAAGGACTTATATACTGCATATAATTTTCTAGCTTGCTTTATATTTTGTTATATAAACATAAATCTTGTTCATAAAGTTAAAGGTGGCAAATTAAGAGTTAGCTTAGTTTGACATTTTCTAGCCTGTCTTGGATGTTATGGTACTACTTACTATAGTCAAAACTGACATAATTGTTCTAAACAGCTGTAGAAACAACACGCAATTGAATGAGGCTCCAGAAAAAATAAAATCAGAAATAACCTCTCAGATAACTACAGAGATACCAAAATATACACCATGCTTAGTGATGTTAGAGACAAAAAAAATAGATGAGCTTAAGAAAATAATGGAAGCTGAGTATATGAAAGAAATAGAATCCATAAGGCAGATTCAAGTAGACATCCAGGAGAATAAAAACTCCAGTGAAACTATTCCAAGCAGATTAGGCCAATGTGAGGACAGGATCTCAGATATTAAAGTCAGGCTCGTAGTGAGTGATCAGGAAAAGAAAGATTTCTCAAAATTAGTGGGGAATCTTGAGAAATTAATCCAGCAGCTGCTAGATGAGACAAAGAAGAATAACTGAACATTGTCTGGGGTTAATGAAAACGCAGGAAATACCACAAATGACATTAAAAATTGTTCACAAACATCATGGCAGAAAACTTTCCCAGGAGAGAAAAAGAATTTGACATACAGATAAACAAGGCATAAAGAATTCTATTCAGCAATGATCAGAAAAAATCTACAGCCAGGCATATTACAAGTAAAGATTCCAGACAGTCAACACAAGAATAGAATCTTTTTTTTTTTTTTTTTTTGGTACTGGGATGGAACTCACGACCTTGCGCTTGCCAGGCAGGCACTTATACCACTGAGCTAAATCCTCAGTCCCAAGAATAGAATCTTTTCTTTTTTTCCTTTTTTTTTTTTTTTTTTTTTTTTGTATTTTTACCAGTACCAGGGATGGAACTCATGACTGCCTGCTTGCAAGGCAGGCGCTTATGCTGCTGAGCTAAATCCCCAGCCCCCCAAGAATAGAATCTTAAAAGCTGTTAGAGAAAGAAAATAAATCACCTACAAAGGAAAGCCCATTAGGATCTCAGGTGACTTCTCAGCACAAACTCTGAAGTCAAGAGCTGAGGTACTCCAGGTTCTAAAGGAAAACAACTTTTAACCCAGATTGATGTAACCCACAAAATTATCTTGCAAAATTGATGGAGAAATAAGATACTTTCATGACAAAGAACATCTGAGGAAATTTATGACCACTAAACCAGCACTCCAAAATGTTCTGAAGGACATTCTAGAAAGAGATAATAAGGACTACAGCTCCATGAACCCCAACAGAAAGATTCCACCAGGAAAGGCAAATAATTAGAGGAAGAGAAAAAAAAAGTAGTGGAGGAGCCAATAACAGGAAAATTACATGACAAGGATAAATCAATATACATCAGTAGCACACACCTGTAATCCCAGCACTTGGGAGGCTGAGGGAAGAGGAATGCTGAGTTCAAGGCCAGCCTGGGCTACAAAGTGAGTTGAAAGCCAGCCTGAACTGTATATCAAGACCCTGCCTCAAAAGATTCAAAACAGAAAAAACATATCAGTTGTAAACATCCACATTAATGGTCTCAACTCATCAATCAAAAGACAGGCTGAATGGATCAAGAAGCAAGATCTAACAATATGCTGCATACCAGAAACACATTTAATTCAAAAAGAAATTCACATACTTCAAGTCAAAGGATGGAAAACAATATTTCATGTGACAAGAATCCAGAAAAAAGGACAAGTAGATATTCTATTTGCAGACAAAAATGAATTGCAAGCCAAGACTGTTTAAGAGAGATAAAGAAGGTCACTACATCCTCATAAAGGGAACATCCAAGAGAAACAGGTAACAGTCATAAATACATATGCAACAAATACCAGTGTGCTCAACTATATAAAACAATTACTAAACCGGCTCGCCTCCCAGGTAAGTGGCTGTGGTGTGGCAGGCTGTAGCCGACTCAGGGAGAGAATCACCAGCCACTCCCGAGATCCACACCATGTTGGAATTTAGGGTGCTGGGAAACCAAGCAACCAGCTCTTCTCCCCTGGTAAGCGGCTGTGGCTCAGCAAGCTGCAGCCGCCCTAGGGGGAGAACCACCAGCATCTCCTGAGATCCACACCATGTTGGAACTTAGGGCACTGGGAAACCAAGCAATCAGCTCACTTCCCTGCTAAGCAGTAGTGAGCCTACCTGCGCATGGGCTGAGAATCAAACATCCCCCCCTCCCCCCCATCAGCAAATGGGAGCCAGAGATCTGAGCATCTCTTGGGAGGTTGACCACATGCAATATAGCAAATAAGGGGGATTTCCTTGCTGATTTGCTTTATTCTGATTAATGGTATTGCTCTATTCAATATTCTGTTTTGATAAATTCTATAATGTTCTGCATTTCATTTTATTTTGCTATACCTGATTGAAAGAACAACTATTGTGAAGATAACGAGATATACTGTGGTACCTATTACTGATATGCTGGTAACCTGCTGTGAAGTTTTGTACCAATTTCACTACACTGTCTAAATTGGCTTTGTTCCATCTTGTTCTGTTGTATTTTACTACCTTCAAAATAAAACAAAATAAAAAACAAACAATTACTAATAGACATGAAAAACCCAATGAGCCTTAATTCAATTGTATTGGGAAACCCAATACTCCATTGTCACAAAAAGACACATCAACTGGGCAAAACTCAACAGTGAAAGGAGAACTAAGAGTTTTGAACAAATGGACTTAGTAGATGTCTACAGTGTTCCATCCCACAACATCAGAATGCACATTCTTCTCAGCTGTACATTGGACATTCTCCAAGATACATCATATACTGGCTCATAAAACATGCTTAAGTAA